ATATCTTTGATATCATCAATATCAAATTGAAGATCATGTCTGTGTAAAAAAGACGAGGTCAAAATCTCTTTTAAGAAAAAGATCAAAATTTTATTATTATGATACTATGAAGCAAAGCAGTCCAAAAATTTTCATACAACAATATCCTAAGAAAATTAGTCAAAAATAAATTTGGATAGACAACAACAAATTGAATTTATATAGACAAAATTACCTAAATATTGGTAGGCAACAATTATCTGAATTTGAGTAGATAGGGAACAACAACCTCAATATGGGTAGGCAACAATTGCTTTAAGGAAAACAACAATTTCAATATGGTTAGGCAATAAAACTCTGGAGAAATTAGCTTAAAATCAATTATTATTTTCAATGCTATTGGTATCTTTGATATCATCAATATCAAATTGAAGATCATGTCTGTGCAAAAAAGACAACGAGGTCAAAATTTATTTCAAGAAAAAGTTCAAAATTTTATTATTTTGATTTTTAATTACTATGAAGCAAACCAATCTAAAAATTTTCATACAACAATATCCTAAGAAAATTAGTCAAAAGCAACCTAACAATGATCAAACAACTGTTTGAATTTGGATAGACAACAACAACTTGATTTATGTAGACAAAATTACCTAAATTTTGGTAGGCAACAACTATCTGAATTTGAGTAGGCAACAACTCTTTGAATTTAAATTGGGAACAACAACCTCAATATGGGTAGGCAACAATAGCTTAAGGAAAACAACAATTTCAATATGGTTAGGCAATAAAACTCTAAAGAAATTAGGTAACCACTATCTTTCAGTATGACAACTGCAGCCTTTAGAGGAGGTTTGTGACTTCTCTCCCCCTCAAGAAGGCATTTATTGTATTTTTTTTAATAATAAAAAAAATTCAAAATTTGAAGGTTTGCTCCACTAGCAAAATTGTGAGTATGCAAAAGCACAAGAGCGCATGCACGACAGCATGTGTGTGCACTGTGTCTTTACGCACGTATACGCACACCACTCATGCACATGCTTGCATGCCATAGTTGGAACAATTGTAAATCATTTTAGTCATGAGAACGATTGCATAACCATTCCGCTTGCCCAAGGGCCCTAACCTGCGCGCATACAAGTAGATGGAAGCCCCTCCCTACATGCAAGCCTGCTTCCTCGCGCATGCGCTCGCTTGTGCACCTCTTTGAGGCTCTCAAATTGAAGATCATGTCTGTGCAAAAAAGACAACAAGGTCAAAATCTATTTCAAGAAAAAGTTCAAAATTATATTATTATGATTTTTAATTACTATGAAGCAAATCAATCCAAAAATTTTCATACAACAATATTCTAAGAAAATTAGTCAAAAGCAACCTAAAAATGATCAAACAACTGTTTGAATTTGGATAGGCAACAACAACTTGAATTTACGTAGACAAAATTACTTAAATTTTGGTAGGCAACAACTATCTGAATTTGAGTAGGCAACAACTCTTTGAATTTAAATTGAGAACAACAACCTCAATATGGGTAGGCAACACTAGCTTAAGGAAAACAACAATTTCAATATGGTTAGGCAATAAAACTCGGAAGAAATTAGGTAACCAACTACAGCCTTTATAGGAGGTTTGTGACTTCTCTCCCCCTCAAGAAGGCATTTATTGTATTTTTTTTAACAATAAAAAAAATTCAAAATTTGAAGGTTTGCTCCACTAGCAAAATTGTGAGTATGCAAACGCACAAGAGCGCATGCACGACAGCATGTGTGCACTGTGCCTTTACGCACGTATACGCACGCCACTCATGCACTTGCTTGCATGCCATAGTTGGAACAATTGTAAATGATTTTAGTCATGGGAACAATTGCATAACCATTCCGCTTGCCCAAGGGCCCTAACTTGCACGCATTCAAGTAGATGGAACGCCCCTCCCTACATGCATGCCTGCTCCCTCGCGCATGCGCCCGCTTGTGCACCTCTTTGAGGCTTCGCACGTGCCGCTACACCCTTTCGTGTGCTCATTCTCACCCATGTGCGATGCTACATCATTAAACACACCATTGTGTTCATTTGTTCGCACGGTCGTACATGTGCACATGAGCATACATGCCTACGTGCCCAGACGTGTAGACCGCCGTCAATAGTGACAACAAAAGAAATGATCAAGTATTTTTTTTCTAAAATGTCTATTACTATTTTTCGTTCCAGACTTAATTTTGACATTTTTAAAGACATCAAGAAGCATCAATAAGTAAATTTGGATAATTTAAAAATGTCAAAGATTCTCATTCCAATTAACTTACTAATTTTTGGAATATCTAAAATTATAGTAGAGATTTATCCAATAACTTATATTTTTGAATGACACGAGTATCGACATTCAAAAATGCGAGGAATTGATGTTTTATCAACAAATTTTTATCATCATGCACGAATCTAGAAGCATTTTGAGCAAGAAACATTCCGAATTCAAAAATCAAGATCATCCATTAACCAATTTTACAAATGTATAGTCAAATTGAGTATCCGAATTCAAAAATCAAGATCATCCATTAACCAATTTACAAACTTATAGTCAAATTGAGTATATCGACATGACGATCAATTGATATTTACTTTAAATCAAATTCATCTCATCGCCTCATCAGCGAGGAAACCTACTTTAAGTTCCGGTGTGGGTTGTACCAATTCGGCTGAAAAATCCTACATTTAAGTATTTGTGCATGTTGTTCAAACGCGGCATGAAAATTTATACTTCTATGTGGATACTAAAGGGGAAATGGCCTATGCATGATTTATTGAGTGTGTTAAGTTTGAAGACCCCCAACCTTGATGTCGCAAGATATTGATCATTCGTGCTTTTTTAAGCTTGGTGGGAATTACATTTGCTTGACCCACCCGCCCAATTTGCTCTCGAACAGCCTTCAAAAAACAGTCAAATGTGGTGAACTAACGCATGGCACCTTCTTTGGAAAGAGATGCTCTTGGGCCCCACCTCATTAGATCCAAACACTAAAAGATGAAAGCCATGACTTACTATGCACTTAGAAAATTCTCGTTCATCCCCAATTCTTCATCGGATCCGCAACATTCCTACACAAGCGAACAGAAGATGAATTTTGTCAAAACTTAAAATGAAAACTTGCAAGTTCTTTGGTCATCCAACTATACTTGCAAGCACCTAATGTTCTGGATAATTCTGACTTACACAAATTTTTGGGTTATCCTTCAACACCTGTGCTTTGCCTCAAGATTCATGCATTCATCTTAAAAGTATGCACGATCAATTTTAATTATTCACAAGATACTATCTCTAATATATTTAGTTTTGTGCCAACATATGTAATGCTCACATGTCTCTAACAAACATATTTCACTATAATGCGTGCACATCATAAAATGCTCACATGTCTCTAACAAACATATATAATGCCTGAATATTTGATTTGAGATTGTTGTGCAAGCTGCATATGAGTTTATATTGAAATATATATTACTTTGAGATGCGTATAAATTATAATTTTGGAAAAATCTCTCTTTTCAAAAATTCAATTTAAGATCATTAAGTTATCCATACTCTCGACCAGGCCGCTCTGTCTATATAAAAAATTTGTAAGTCCCACCTTTGGCTAGTCTGCTCATCCTGATCGGAGTTAATAAGATTGAGACACCAATTAGCTAGTTTGACCCTCCATGAAAGGATTGGAGTTAATAGGATTAATGCTTTAATAACTTTCAAATGATAATGTTCAATTGAAATTGCACACTCATGAATCCCCGATAATGGTTGTATTGATAGAAGTTTTCAAACGAAAGCTTGAAATTTATTTAAATAAATTAATTTTATGAACTTGGCCCTCTATAAGCAAAATAAATTTATGGTTCAAAGTTGCCTAAATATTCAATGATGATCGTATTATAGCAAATCTCAATTAAAAGGGTCTATTCTTAAAATAAAACTCTATAATTCTATAATTTTGAAATTTTCATATGAAATATATCATTTTAAAGCTTAAGAAAATCTCATCTATCCTCGGCAACAGTTTGTTGAAAGTAACAAATTAAGTTTAACTTAAACTCACAAAAATTAAGAGTAAAGTGCTAAAATAGTCCCCAGCTATTTCAATGAGATCCTTTTAGTTGTAGAGTTTATAAATGTGTCAAAATAGCTTTCAAATTCTTTAAATTATGGCTAAAATTATCCTCATCGAGGATTATTATAACTCAATTTTAAAATATTCAGAGACTATATTGACACTTCTATAAACTCTGGGATTATAACGACCCGTGAAAATAGTTGGGATCTATTTTGGCACTTCACTCCAAAAAATAAATATCACATCAAATATATTATTAAATTCACACTCAAAATAATCTCATGTCAGTAAGAATGTGGCTCGAGTTTTTTGTCTATCTCGTTTGGCCTAATGGCTCAATACATAAGTGTTTATGATCAGAGCTCTTTGATTGAGTGATTTGGCCAATAGGTCTTATATAATGGTTTGGCTCATATGCTAAATCAGAAGGTTTGGCTAGTAGACTCTATCAAGTGGTTTTGCCGATTTGACACTACTATTTTACGGCCACGGTATTAGCACATATATTCTCAAATGGCTTTGCTTATTTGAGCTATTAACAATTGGTTATTTTTAATAGGGCACAAAGCTATTTGTTAGCTAAGCTGACTTAACTTTGTCCTCTAAGACAAACAGTCAAACTTTGTCTATAATCTTCTCCTGGACGAAGATTTGTCTATAATGTTCATTGGTGTATTGACGCGCAATCTAAGAAAAAGTAGGAACTATTGCAGAAATAATTCCCCGTATTATGAACTAGCAATACTTTTAGCTTACACGAGCATTTATCTGAGCTCACTGCTTGTAAGACTAGAATTACAATACTAGGATAAAAAATGAGCAGCAGGAGTACACAACATGAGCGAGATTATCTAGTGCAACATATTTTATTTAAACTAAGAAAATGCAATAAATATATTGAAGTCCGTTTAATTGGCCTGTATAACTCTTGTAGACTGATTTGTTAAATTGAAGTTTTGATTGTATAGTTGATCTACGATATAAGCTGGCCGAGTTGGATTTGCCAAAGATAGTATAGCTTCATTGTCCATCTCCGTGGTATGTCATGTATCCCATTTAGACATACCGGTCAATCTTAATATCTGAACAAGTAAGAAGGAATATGTACTTCCTCTAGAACATGATGATTCTTAATGTCGAGTAAATCAGTCATCCTAGTATACATTCAAAGGTTTTATTGATCTTATATAGAATAACCTTAGGGGTTTTTACGTATCAATCATCCAAAATATTAAATATTACAGTTTAGGAATCACCTTTTTATTACAGCCACCCTCCTAAACCCACTCATGAATTTTTTTAGTAAAGTTTTGGATGATTAAAATATTATATTTAATGTTTTGATTTGTTGGTATGTAAAAACCCCTAAAGTAAATGATTATGAAGTCTAAATGGCATCGGTCACTCCCCACCATTCACATGAAACATATCAAAACATGTTAAAATTATGTAGACATATTTTGTAGCTTATCTCATTAATTCTCATCCCCTTAGTAACAAAAAATAAACTTACATTTAGAATTTAAAAAAACTAATCATATATTTTTGTAGAAGATGTTAATCGACCCATGACTATGTCCATATAGTGTATTTTTTTTCTTCGTGTCAAGAAAAAATGGATTTCTCAATTTACAAACCTACCAATTAAATGTGTGGAACTTCAATTCAATTCTTTTAATAACATAAATTGATGGAAGATTTACATGCATACCACTAAATTCCTATGTATTTACATGTCTGACACCTAAACTTAAATTTTTGCATATATGACACCTCACCTATGCATGAAAGTGTGCATTTCCCTTTTTAAAAGTTAAAATAGTAGTATTTTTAATGTGATATAAAAGATTTACGTGATATTAATGTAAAAAGTAGAGCTTAAGTGTTATATATGTAAATACATAAGAATTTTGTGGTACGTCCGGAAATGTCCCTAAATTCATATCATTTACGATACAAGTTAAGTTCTCTTACAATCAATAATCTTTTTGAAACACTGATACAAAGGCTCTAATAACCGTTGGCTAATGGCTAGAACTACGTCAACTTTATAACAATGAATACTTTCATCTTTCGGTAAACATTTTGTCATGTTATGAATATAGTAAGTTGAGTTTCCTTTCCTGTTGTAGGTATGGAAGGTCCAACAATGGAAGGCCAAGTCTACAGGGGAGAAAGTGTTGCTGTCCTTGTCAAATGTTACCCTTGTCTGTAATTTACCATCACCCAAGTCCATGAAAAGCTATGAAGATGTCATAAAGAAGCATTCTAAGCTTTGAGTCTTGGTAGTGTGATTGAAAATGAGTTATTAGGACTTTTTCTTTTTGTTATAATGTGTTATCTTTTGTGTTATTCTTTCTCTTTTGATCAAATCTGCTCGTGATTAATTGATTATGTATTTTCATATCTAATGTCTGAGCTTCAATTCTTATATATATGTCGTCTCACTTATGCATGAAAGATGTATTTCGTCTTTTACCGGTTAAAGAAGTGATATTTTTTTGTTATATGAAATAGTCGGTGTTTTAAATTTTTTTTTTTAGCGGGAAAAGACTGAAAAATAATCATCTTTATGGTCGCATTTATGTTATATGTCAAGTGTTCTAATCAGTCGCTGACATTTTTATGTATTAGTCATAAAAAGTCAAATGTAATATCATCACATTATATTCGTAAAAATTGTGAGGTCGTGTATTGAAATCATCATCCGTAGCCTACCGGAATTATATACATTCTTATATTTTATAATTAGTATTGAGTTTACATTACTAACCCACATATTCAAAAAAAAGGCAAATTTTTAGGAGTTCCATTGATTTTTTTTTTTTTAAAGAGCATGCACACCTTGTTTGTTTGAGGCAGTTCTTAAATTTTAAGAAAATTATAAACCCCCATAGGAGATGGGTACTTAATTTTTTTTAAATAATATTATTATTAATATAAAGTAATTATTATTATAAATTGTGAGAAAAATGAATTTATAAAATGAAAATTTTACATTAATGAACAACTTGTAATTATTTTTTAAATTTAAAAAAAAATAATTGAGCAAATTAAATTAACTAACAAATTAATTCTTTAAGTAAAATTAATTAGTTATTTTTAATATTTTCGTAGCATGATAATTACACAAAAAATTATCTATTACATCGAGTTAGAATTGTTCTTAGGGTCTGGTGTATATCGAGGCGATGGTCGCAGTGGTCAATGTGAAAATGTTTTTTTCAATTTCATCGCTTTCAGATGTGTCATTCGTAGCATCCAATAAATTTGACAGTTGAGATTTAGTGGAGAATAAAATTTTAGTGTACACAAATCCAATGAATGTTGTCTAAATTCATCCAACTCTGTATATATATGCTAAAACCACGTCACCTAATGAATATTATTCAAATTCATCCGAATTGAAGAATTGAAGAAGACTTTCAGGAACATCAGTTGCGACATCGGCCACTATGTCGTCGTTTCGATATACACTGGGCACAGGCACAATTTCATCCCGATGTAGAAGATAATGTTTTTATGTAATTATCATGTTACAAAAATATTAAAAATGACTAATAAATTTTACATAAAAATTTAAGTTGTTAGTTAATAGTGTATTAGTTAATTTAATTTGTTTAATTATTTTAAAAAAAAATAATTGCAAGTTGTTCATTAATGTAAAAAATTCATTTTATAAATTCATTTTGTTACAATTTATAATAATAAATACTTTATAATAATATTATTATTATTTTTAAGAAAATAAAGTAATATTTCTTAAAATTTAAGAAACACTTCCAAACAAGCCGTGTATGCTCTTTTAAAAAAAAAATTAATGAAGCTCCTTCATCTTATTAAGTTATTAAAGGAGCTTCTTCTAAAAGCCCATAAAACAAAGTCCCACCAACCTATCCTCTTATGTAGAAGCGCTTATTCTAAGCGGACACCGCACGCAGACTTGTGTGCAGTGTCCAATTAAAACGTGACACGTGGAAATGCGGGCCCTACATTAAAAAAATTAATTTTATATTTTCTTACTGCGCGACCCAGCCTAAGCCTGACCCAAGAATCTAAAAATTAGACCACGCGCCTTAGCAAAATGTCATATCATCATTTCGGAAAGCTAAACATCATCCAAGCGCAAAACATTGTCAATTCGGTAATTGTTTAAGGTTTTGGATTGCTTTCTTGAATCAGAAAAGCTTAGGGTTTTGTGTTACTGTTTGTTGATCGAAGTAAAGTCATGATTTCTCGTTACCAAGATGGAATCTGAGCCCAGGCAGACTGAAACCGAAGAGAGTCCTATGAGAATGGAGACCGAAGTGTCTTTGATAATAGAAATTGAAGAGCATTTGAAAATGGAGATTGATAAGCGAAAGAAGAACGAAGTGAAAGAGCGTAAGAAGAAGGAAAACCAAGAGGGTTCATCCAGATAATTTTTTTTTTGTGGTCCTACTTTCATTGACAAGACTATGTTAACAGAGCGAAGAAATTCATTAATATAGTATACCGAATAGATACTTGAATGACTGATATCTTTGTTTATCTAAAAACCCAAAAAACAAATCACTTAGGTATTTAGCTCAGACTTACTGTTTTGGGTAATATTTGAGTAGTATTTAAGTAATATTTGAATAATATTTGATAGTAGTCTGAACTAAATATCACAAGTTCACCCAATATTACCATAATAATACCAAAATAACACCGGAATAAAACCTAAATTTTAATAATAATGTCAAACTAACACCGCATAACACTACTGAAATATTACTTGAATATTACCTAAATAATACTATATTAATACCTCAGTAACACCTGAATAAGATTTAATAAAACCTAAATGTTAATAATAATACCAAACTAACACCACATAAACTAACACCACATAACACCAGAAATAATACCAGAATAATACCTAAATAATACTATAATTATTTCATTTATAATACCTAACTTTCTTTAATAATACCAACTAACACCAAATAACACCACGTAAATAATACAATAATATCACCTAAATAATTCTATAAAAATTACCTGAGTGAAACCATTATAATGCTTTAATATTACCAAAATAATCCCAAAATAAAACATGTCTACCTAACTCGCCTACCCTAAACACCTTAACAAATAATAAATAACACTGAAATTACAACTTAATAATGACTACTATTTGTCGCATTATTTTATTTTATGTAGATTTGTGAACCCAAGGTCCATAAGTTGTAGATGTCGGTCATCCGTAGTGAAAGATGTGCTCGATAAGGTCATGCATGTCATATCTGAAGACATCAGGAATGAGCTGAAAATGATGAATATTGATCAGTTTTTGGCACACCCATCTTATACGCAAGACAATGTCTTGACACTATAAATATTGCATTGTTGGCAACATGAAAAATTGGTTTTCAGAATGGGTGAGAAATATCTGAGAATAATGTCTGATGAAGTTTTCCTTTTGATCGGCATGTCAAATAGAAGAGAAGTGTCAAAGTGGAAGAAAGTTTCATCATGTGGTGTGGATGCCCGTCAAATGAAGAATGATATTTTGAAATTTGCAACCGGAGAGTCTTCTACCCTTTTTGATCAATTGTATATAAATTTTTTGTTATCAAATTTATTTTTTCCTTCTAGTAATTTTAGTGCATCAAGAGGAATTTACACCTTTGGCGAGAATGTACATATTTTCTTTCATTTAATTGGTCTGTTGCACTCTATGAATTTTTTATTGAGCAAATTAATGCAGTAGCCATCAAAATAAGACAGAACATGCCTTTGGGATATATAAATGTTTTTTTTTTTTTGCTAACGGTTAGTATCTCATATAAACGTTAAAAAAATATTTATTTCTTTGTGCAAGTTGAATATTATTTCTTTTACACAACTCTAGTTTTATAAGCACACCTCTTCGGTAACTCCTACCGCTCCTGAGGCCTAATCTCGAATGTTGAGGTGGCTAACAAATTTAGGCTGGAACTAGGGGTGTAAACGAATCGAACACGAATGAACAAAGCTCATATTTGTGCTCAGTTCGTTTGAAATTACGTGTGTTTGAAATAATCTTGTATTTGAAATCGTTCGTGAAGTTATTGTTCATGTCCTGTTTGATTTGTTTGAAAAGTGTTTGAAATGTTTCAAATGCTCGAATTATTCAAAATGTTTGAATTGTTTGAAATCTTACAAATTTGTTTGTATTGTTTGAATTGTTTGAAATCTTTCAAAAGCTTAAACCTATATGAAATTAATGCTTAAACATGTATGAATCACAACACAATGCAAAATAGTTGAAGCACAATGATTTGCCCCTAGTGTGTGTTGTTTTTCTACGTGTTTTATGTAAATTTAAATTCACGGTAATAGTGCCAAGAGTTTGACCCGTCCCGAAATTATGCATTAATTTAGCTTTTCAAAAAAATGGCCAAAAACTTGACCCAATTTATATTAAGTAGTTAATGTGGAAAATCAAAATATTTATAAAATATATAAAATAGTTCACACACTATTGGTTCTACGCAAGTACATGTATCGCTTGAAGTAATATAGGGTTTTCTTTAAAAACCCCAGTATCGATCCCACGAAGAAGCGATGTAAGAAATCCCTAGCCTAATTCTAGTCTACTACTATAATCAATTAGTTTAGAAGGTTCATTAAAGTGGTTTTAATGTAAGCTAATGAAACTAAATTTATTAAATTAATTTCTAAACTTTAAAGTTAAATTTACTAAGACTAAATAAGTTTTGTGACGAAGAGTTCAAATTTAAGAAAGTATCATTCCCACTACAATGAATTTTTTGTTAATGATAGAGATAAATGGTGCCAAATAGGAGCAGTTTTAATTCTCTACCCTCGGTCAAGTGTTATAGAAAATCATTGGCTAATATTAAGCTTAGTCCTTAAATCCGTGGTTAGGCTAGGAGAATATTGGCTCTCACTCCAGAGCTCCCATTTCCCATCCCCTGAAGGCTAACGCTCGCTTTAGTTTTTAAACACTAAGAACAAATTGAGGATTTTAGTATGTCACCCTAAAATCTCTAATTCTACGTCTAACAAAGTATATTTCTCTATTTATTTGCACCTAATTTCATGAATGAAACACTCTTCCATGGAATTAAATGTGATTCTCACTCTGTTATAGAACCCATACTCCATTTCCCGGATCATATGTTTCGCAACAGATTTTAACATTTCAATTGACCAGTTCGAAAAGTAAATTAAGAATAAAGTAGAAAAATCATCACAGTTTATTTTATATTTTAAAATAGCACATCCAAATTATCTCTTCATTTCATCATATCTTAGAGTAAGGAGAAAGATAAAGAAGTCTACTTAGAACTCATGAGGAAGATACGATAAGAAGATAAAAT